GAGTATGAGCAGAAGTGTCCGATTGGAGCACGGGAGCGTTGCGTTCGCATTGGCGCGCGCAATCTTCCCCTCGGCGCAGCGCGGGCAGCGAGAAACAGACTATTGACTTTCAAATAAGCGTAATTTTGTTCAATATCAATATTTCTTAAAACGCTAAGTAGATTTGTAATCTACAAAACTGCTTGTTTCAGAAGGTAACCACGATTATGCCTTATCTTCAAAACTACGTCAGTTATGGGGTAGAGAACAAAGAATTCACAGAAATGCGCACTTCGTCCTTTGAAAGGTTGTAACTTTCTTCAAAGAAGGAATTATGAGGAGCGGTAAGAAAAATTGGAAAGCTCAGACTGTTTTCTTTCTAAAAAGTGCTCAAGCTTTTGCAAAAACTCTTTCCTTCAAAAAATCGCCCCGTTGGACCGTTTTTTTCGCAAGACCAGGTTTTTTGGCTTATCCCCCTGGGTTGAAGAAGAAGGTTAGAGCTTTCTAACGAATACTTGAACTCTTTCAAAGTTGATGGAGTCAAAAAATCGCCCCGTTGGACCGTTTTTGGGAAATCGCGGACCGATTTTTTGCAGAGCGCTGGTTTTTTGGCTTTAAATTGTTATAACTTTCTTCAGATTGAACTTTTTGCAGTTCTTGTCCCCTGGATTGGAGTAGAAGGTTAGAGCTTTCCAACGAATACTTTTTCTCTTTCCAAAGTTGAAGGAGTCAAAAAATCGCCCCGTTGGACCGTTTTTTTTTCATGAATTTTCGGCGCTACTCTCCTGAAAACACGGTTTTCAACACTTAAACACTGACAACTCTCTTCAAACTCAATTTTATCGGGAATTATGATACCGTGACATCGCACGAGCTCTGTGCTTCATTACAGATGCTAAACCCATTTCAAGAAGTTGCCGACAGGCAAATATTTTTGTTCCCAAACTTTTCTTGTAGCCCTTTAGCAGTCAATCTACCAAAGAGGTCACTCTTTTATTAACTTAGGTCCAGTTTGAAGGCATTGGTTCACCTCTAGAATTATATTTGTGTACGTGCGCAGTCAAATATGGATACTTTCGCAGTAGACTCTTCTGCTCTGATGTGCGCCATGCACTCGTTTCT